GGGTGCGCAACCACAGAMAACGAATGGCGCAGCAAYAAGATAGAACTAGACGAGCGAATATTCAAACTTGCTTGCCTACTAAAGCTGGAGAGCWTCATATCTAAATAACATATGATATACAAATGCAGTTGGATGTGCCAGTCGTAGTAAAGATAATGCTTCTATGGCTCGTTYGTGCCATAARTTGTTGACATGAGACTGCATATGCTCACTGAAAACTTTTGTAGTGAGTCTTCTGTGGTGGCTGTTTGCATCATGACAACTTTTTTCGTAAAGACGTCATCATTGCCAAGAGCCATAAAATTGTAGCTCACATGTTAGATGCGCCACAGTTAGCGTGCCTGAAAAGAAGAATGAATTCCGCTCGAGCTTGCGATTTTGCTCTAGGCTTCTAATAATGTAATTTCAATATAATTGAGCTGTCAAGTTCGTTTAAGCTGGATTCTTGCGAGTACTGTGTTTTGTATGAGAAACAAATATCGGTGTTGTACTTAGGTTTMAGTAARCATAGYYGAAAGCAGTGCTCTSKAAAGTYGGTCCAATGCTGAGCAAATAATKCCGTCAAATCCCATTTTTAATTCTTGGAAGCTAACAGTTTTGTAGTTAGATATAACCTTCACAGGTGTGAGACAAATGTTTCGTGAAGTAKAGTTCTTTAGAGGAAAGAAGTTTCGGTATTCGAAAAAAACTGGATCGAAAGAAATTCCCTGGAAATGTCAAAGATCAGTATCAGCTCAGTAGTAGCTCATTTTTCTTTTGCACCAATTCGCATATATGTATTTGTTTTCGAAAAAATGWGTTGAAACTAAATTGRGACAGCAAACAACGCCATATWTTCCCGCTCTTTTGAYATTTCTCTCAGTAAGGTTTGCTTTTTCATCATGGRAAGATATACTATACGATCCAACAACGAGTAAAAGTTATTAAAATTTTCTACCGAAATTCGGAGTAAGTGGCCTCAACTTAAAGAGCGYTAAATCCAATTTATTGTCGTCAGAATCATCCTGTCAGATCAGCAATTAAGCGTCTAGTTTGAATTCACAGACCCAGTACAAAATGTTCCCGTGCCAGTGAGACAAAGAAGTGCCCGCAGTGTCGAGAATATCGTATTAATTGAGGAAGACCCAAATCAGTCTCTCACACGTCGTTCTCAAGCGTTAGGCTTCTCTGTGACGTCGTTGTGGCGAATTTTGCGAAAAGATCTTGGTCTACATCCTTACAAGATCAGATCGTCGTACGTTCGTGAATTGTGCTGAGCAACAACTTGAAAATGATCCGGATTTTGATTAGGCTCATATCTGGCTAAATGGCTTCGTCAATAAGCAAATATGCGTTATTGATCAATACCCCGAAAAAATTACGGTTTGGTGCGGTTTATGGGCCGGCGGCGTCATTGGACCCTACTTCTTCCGTGATGATCAAGACTGGCACCGCTCAATGATAACCGAGTATTTTTGRGCCGAATTGGATGATGTGGACTTTGGACAGTCAATTTGCCGCCTCGGTCGTTGCAAATGGACACCGGTAGAGTATTTCCTGTGGTGCTATGTTAAGTCTTTGGTCTATGCCAAGCCAGCGACGATTGATGAACTTCGTACGAATATCTAACKTGCAATTGCAGCAGTATGCCCGTCCAAGCAAAATAAATCGGTTTCCAAAATCGTTTTTGTTTTATTTCGAAGTATTTTGTAGCGCCCTTATTGAAAAGCGTTAGGTCAACAAAAATCTTATACTCTGTAGCAAMATGTTGCAAGAGTCTGCAATGCTGTAGCAGAGAACCAATGCAAATATTTTCTGAAAACCCTCACCCCTACACTATGTCTTAAATTTTTTTATAAAAACAAATATACACTAAAGCATTCTTCCAAGCATATGAGTCCACTATGTAGCCAATGTACTACTGTCATACAACAATAAATTCAATTTTAATTTCAACGACATGTAAAACATAAATTTTCACACCATCTTCATCGCCACCTTCGCCGATCCAACCGCAGCGGTTTTCAATTTGGCATAATTCAGCCAAAGAAATTAGCAGTCCGTAAGAAAGGAAGTGAAGCAGKATGGCCAAACTCGAGTGGAGTTTCACAGCAAAGTAGTTTATGGTCGTCGCAGACGCAGCATCCACACAAAGATATGAGGCAATGACAAATTTTTAATATGAAGACRTAACATATTTACGATACGAGCGCCAAAATCAACCATATGCACACCCAACTGCAAGTACTGCAGCTGGGCACAAGGAACTAGAAGCTGCAACAGCTACGCAGAGCGGCAACAATGGGCACCACCAGGAATTATTATCAAACATGTGAATCAACGAGCCACAAATTTTACGCACACCTACATAAGCACTTAACACAGAAATAAAAGTTTAATATATAAGTGTTTTATATGCAAATGGAGAACTGCGTACCCTGCAGAAAATTTCTATACTTMATCAGCTGATTGATAAATTGTAAGCTTAGTTGAGATCAGCTGATTTGTGTTTGACATACATTTAATTATTATCAAACCTAGGACACATTCAAAATGTGCTGTGTTCGTATTCAATCATCATTTATATCTTTGACGCATTAAAATTTGTCACCGAAATAGGTTTGAGACTAGGATTGGGTTGCTTTTTAGGCTCTACGTGACTTTTAAGTAACTTTTTTATGACTTATGAACAATTTAAACTTCAGAAAATTTTTTCGAATGCTGATTACACTACAAAAAATGTCTAAAGACTAACTGAAATTATTTCAGAAAATAAAATTTAACCATTTTATTGCCTTAATTTTTCCYACGGGATATTTTTATTTGTTTGAACAAACAAAACAAAAGCAAAAACGCCTTGAGTCGTGTATCTTTTTGGACTTACTTCAAGCCCATCGTCAGGGCATCCTTTGCCATGTACTTGGCTAAGTTAGCATGACCAGACCACTGTAGGCTGCGCCTGTTCGCGGTAGCACTCAGTTAGAGCCTGATGCCTTGTGTGTACCAATATTTGCACTGCTRGTGTCCATTGTGTCCGTTGGAGGACGCAAATTGAAAAGTACTTTATTGCATGTATGTAAGTATGTATATGCAAAAATCAAATATTAGTCTTCGGTTCTTGGTTTATGAATTTATGAACGTGTTKTGTTGGGTTTAGAAGTGACAGCACATAAAGTTATATTTATTCAAATAAAATTATTTGCGGGTTTAAATTRTTGTTGATTTTGTATTTTCCAGGCCTTTTCAATATAAGAGATATAATTTATTTTCAAAAAAAGAACACTAATTGCTGRGCAAATTGAAATGTTTTTTATTTAATGCGAAATACAACAGAGTTCTGAATATAATATCATTCAAACCACTACGGCGACTTTTGTTGCAGGAACGAATTCGTTTAAACCAATTGGATATTCCAAGCGTAGCTAGGTCCTTCTCCACCTGGTCCTTCCAAAGGAGTGGAGGTCTTCCTTTTCCTCTGCCTCCCCCGGCGGGTACAGCGTCGAAAACCTTCAGAGCTGGAACATGACCTAGCCAGCGTAGCCGCAGTCTTTTAATTCGCTGAACTATGTCAATGTCGTCATATATCTCGTACAGCTCATCGTTCCATCGAATGTGATATTCGCCGTGGCCAACGCGTAAAGAACCATAAATCTTTCGCAGAACTTTTCTCTCGAAAACTCGCAACGTCGACTCATCAGTTGTTGTTATCGTCCAAGCCTATGCACCATATAGCAAGACGGATATATGTAGATTATAGAGTTTGGGTAATATGAGTGACTTATAGAGTTTGGAACGGCGCTTCTAGTTAACGAAAAACCTCGCTTTGCCACACAAATTACTTCGATGATGTCATCGCTTTGTTTTTCAGAATAAATATTGGGAGCATATATGTGTTATTCTGTGATCTGATGGAACTAAATGAAATAAAAAGAGCAGCCTGTGCCAAGATTACTGGAGCTATCACATCCCGTCGGACTAATGCGCTCAAAATATACTCTTGAATCAGCTATCCATAGACGCGTATACTATGAAAGTAACAGCAAGTACTGCTATTAGATTTAAGGAATTAGGAGCATAGAGACGAAAAGAGTTCGAACAAAGCACCGTCCTAAATAAGCTAAATATAAACATATTATATGTAAATCAAGGTAAAGGCGAATAGGTAGGGAGAAGAGGTAAGGTAGGTGGATACTACCTATGTCTACACCTCCAAGTATGGGTCCAAAATGGGTAGCGGAGTGGGGGCGGGAATATACTCGAATGACCTCAAAAGCCATGTAGCATCCTCCAAGTGGAAGTACTAGGTATAGAGAAGACCTGTGAATTTCTATATTTTGAGCCAGGCGGCTTTGCTTGTCGACAATTGCAGGCAGGCTTTAAGCTCACTGGCAGGTCCACTCCCCGTCACAGGAACATTTTTGACAACGAAAAGGTGGACGAGTTGGCGAGGCTAGGAGCCTGTTTAGCCAGTACAATGCCCGCTAATGCCGATTAATTGAGAGCTTTATAAACATTTTGAACTAATCGCACAGAGTATGGCGAAATTATGACAGGAATAGAACAAAGGACCTGTTATCTAGGTCCAAAAACGGCATCTACACACTTACAGTAGCTATCACGGTTCACCGACCTTCAGGAGAGCATGCGCTAATAATGTGACTGCCTTATAACAATAGTTGCCGCAGCTGAAAGCAGAAAGGAAATACGAAAACGGGTTTCCTTTTCCTATCCGAATGCCCAGATTTATCACAAATCCGACACAAAATACTTGCAGCCCATCGAGCATCAAACTTTGAATGCTTGTCCACAAAAGGCATAACAGTAATAAGTAGAGAGAGCATTAAACGGTTCGAAACCGAATAGCAAAGCTATAAGGCCGTACGATAGTGCATCAAAATGGCGCATTCAGCGCTAATTAACCTTTTTAAATTTATGAGTTTAGGTCTTATATAATATTATATAAAAAGTTACTAGCAATACATATTCTAACAAAAATGTTCATATTTTTSCTTTATTCGCAGAATTACTATGGTTTAAAGCAYCATTAACCACAACAACAGCAACAGSAMAAAKCAGCAAAGCGCTCTCTCACTAACTACTCACACTTTGAAACGTCAAAAATACGAAACTACTTATACTCAACAAAAGAACAGCAACAACAAAACGCACTTAACAGTACTCCTTTTGAAGGATCTAATAACAAAAGAAAAGCAAAAATCAAAGAACAACACACGACAAAATGGTGTTGGTATTGAACGGTGTCTTACAGGACGATTGTCCAATGGACACAAACAGTCTCTTCCTACAGCATCCCGTTTACAGAGATTATGCCCAGCAACTGCTCTCCATACCAAGAAAGTCGGTGGGCCCAGTGGGTCTGCTCTACGTGGGCCAACGTGAAATGGCCGCTGCAGCGCCGCACGACAAGAACATCAACATTATCGGCGCCGATGATGCCACAACGTGCATTATTGTTGTGGTCAGACATTCAGGTAAATACGCACACACACATACAAGTTTTATAAAATTTATGCTTTTGTTCAAATTGGCTTCATTTTACCTCGAGCTGCAAGATGCGCAGTTTCGTTTCCTTTATCAGCCACTACTTTTCTTGCAATTTTACTTATGAGTAACATTTATGTTTGTAACAAAAGTATTTCTTATGTTTGCGCCATCATCATTAATCCTTTAACATTTTGTACCTTTCTGTTGCATAGGTTCAGGCGCTGTGGCTTTGGCGCACTTCGATGGCAACGGCATAGACGAGGCTGTCTGCACAATGGTTGCACGCGTCCAAGAGTTGGCCTTAGGTTATCCAGAGGGACGTATTGAGTTGCAATTAATTGGTGGCTACCGAGATCCACAAGGATACGGCGAGGAGGTTTTCTACAGCATAATGCGTAAGTGGACGGCATTTGTTATAATAAAAGCATGTTTAGTATTATTTTTTACTTACATACATATTTATATAAGAAATGCCTTACATTATTTGAACTAAGAACTGAACTTTGTAAGCTTAGACGGATACACTTTTTAGAGAATTAATTTAAAAGAATGTAGGCATGTGGTCAAAAAACGAATTGAGTTCAGTTAGGCAAGCAAAAATACTACCATATATCAACTACTTAGTTACAAAAAAAAAATATATGTATATGAAATGAATACTTAGCCTTAGGCAAACTCTTTGCAAAATACAACATGCCAGCTGATCAAATTTGACCCGGACTGGTCGAAAATAATATATTTTTAACATCAAAAGCTTAAGCCACTAGGAAAAAATTGTGCTTGTCGATTTTAACGTAAGGTTGGCCAAAGAAGACATCTTTGGTACAACAATCGGAAAGTTGGTTTCCGGTTGTACTAGATTCGAGCACAAATCAATCAAGCTACTTGGCTGTCTCTGCATYRAAAAGTTCGTAATCAGGTCGATCATGTTGTGCGAGATAGACGACAAATCTTCAATGTTCTTGACTTGTGTATGCTCCGAGGACCTAACTTCAACTCTGACGTGCCCGGCTCTATACGGCAAAGCATGACCGTCAAGAACACAGGGAAGGTACGACGTCGAGAAGCTACCGGCAACGAAACGGTTTTCTACCCGATTTGCACTCCTCCTCTCTGAGARCACTCATCATAAACTCGGTATAAGGAGACTGTGGCACGGCATTTCCAGATCTTTACGTGCAGCTGCAAGCGAAACCATTGGTTTTCGTAAATTCGAAAAAGCAGCTGGTACGATGAGAGCTGTCGAGTTGCAGAGGATAGAAAGCAGCCGTCTACCCTGCAATGTTGCAATCGACAACAACACGAATGGGGTGATATAGATACCGTSAGCTGAAGAGGGAAGCCAGACGCATATGCAGACAAAAAAAAAAATCGAAAGAAAAAAAAGAAAAAGGCTGTAATGCGTAAGTATGACTAGGTTGAGAAGCTGGTCAGGGGTAATGCTCAAAAATGTTACGAAAAGATGCGGCGTGTAACGAAGACCGATGCATACTCTTGTCGGGCCCAAAGTGGTGAAACTGAAGTAACTGAGGGAACGCTTCTTCAGCCTGCGGAACGACTGTGAAAGTGTAACATCTAGAGATGGCGAACCGGCAAATCTTGAAAACTAGAGTTAGTTCAGTAGAATTTTAACAGAATGTTAAACTTTATTATAGCCACTAAGTGACAATTGTTGATGTTATAGTATTTACCTAAACACTGTTCAGTGGTTTTGACGTTAGGGCCGATGGGATTTAACAGTAGATCTTCGATCAGAAAGTTTTAATGAAATTTTTGTGTGAAGTATTAAGCAAAGACTTACTTACCATGAATTTSTTCCTCCTGGACAAACCGCCAACGCCAAGTTTTACATGGAAGTCCTCAAGARACTCAAACGAAGGGTCAATCGGATCCGACAAGACATCGCAGCCGATTGAAAGTTGCACCACGACAACGACCCGGCTCACACCGCCTWTCTTGTAAACAATTTTATAATATTTGTTTTTAATTTAACTCATATCTGTAGGTGAAATTAAATGTATTTAGGTATAATATATGTAAAAGAAAATAAAATTAAGAAAATAGAGTAATTTTTTATCTAGTATATTTGTATATATGTATATTTTTGATCGACTAATGATCATCTCTTTTGTATTAAACTATATTCTGTCATTTCTCTCTTCACCGTAGAATCATTCCATAAGCATCATCTCGAAATCGACTTGACTCAAGCCTGCGTCGGTGAGCTAAACACTATACTGCGTGGCGACATCAACTACCCAATCATATACGGCGTTGGTGTTAATATAAAAACCGGTGAAATATTCCCAGCAACTTTTCTAGATCGAGGACCGGACAGACAATTGCGTGATGCTCGCAATTTCATGGGTGCACAATCGGTAAATATAATATATTTTGTAAAGAAAAAAATATAAAATATTTTTAGCGTCAAAAATTTTAAATTTCTAATATCTTAATTGAGTTATGTATATTATTTGCATCTTCTGTATAACTTCACATGCTACTCTCCCCTTATAGGTCTTGGACATTTACGACTCCTCCTTGGGCATGCTGCGTATCGGCCCCTTCAATTATGATCCTTTGCGCGGCGCTGATTTGTGGCTATCACAGACAGATGAATTCCTCTTGCAACACTTATCGACGAGTCCAGACGTTGAGCCGCCACACTTCACAATGCAGGTAGGTGCAATCACAAACCTTTGAGAAGTTAAATATTAACAGTTTCTTCTTTTATTGCTGTTTGCTGACAGATACGCGCGACAATAAAATTCATACAAGATAATCAATTCCCCGCAATCACCGTGTTTCGGGACAATCGGCCGCGCTACTATCGGCGCGACGAGTCTACGGGCTGCTGGACTTTGGTTAGATATTAATTACGAATAATCGCACACTCACACATGCATCTATATATATGTAAACAATACRTGCTCGCATATTTGTGCTTGAAGCGAAAATTCACTTAAGTGTTGTTTTTTTAATGTTTCTACTTTTACTTTGTTTTTTTAAATGTCCGCCTTAGCTGCTCCGTTCACTTTATGGCTGCTCTGTACTTTTGTACTCGTATGTAAATTTCAATGTATTTTTGCCTTTATTATGAATAATTAATGTTTTATTTCTACTGCTGGACTTTTTTCACTTTTTTGTTAATTTTTGTTTTGTTTTTTTGCCCTGCTTCTCTTTGTATTTCAATGTTTTCAGGTACGTTGCTTCAGTGTAGGCACTAATTGTGCTTTTATTATTTTGTTTTTAGCTTTTCTTACTGTTAATTTTAAGCCCTCTCTGTTAAATGTAAACTGTGTTTTATTGTAATGTTTTATTTTGCAACTTTGATGGCAGCTTTGCAATCAAAAATTAAAATTTTATTTTGTATTTGCCTCGGAAGCAGCAGGAGACGCATACATGCATATACATATGTATGTAAGTGTGTGAAGTTAAGAGCTTAGCATATTTATACGATTTTAGAACTTATTAGTATAGTAGTTAAACGTAATATTAAGAAGTAGCGATATTTGTGAGTCGAAATTTCGAATTATACTTGAAGGCGTAACTGTATATACATATGTAGGTATTTAAGYTAGGTCATTAGTATGAATTTGATATTGAATTCTTTTTTGTTTAACACTTAAGTGCTGTAGTCTATAT